AGTTGACACCCCAGCCTCAAGAGTTGACTCTGCCGCTTGTCGCGGAGCTATCTCTTCCTCTGAGCCTGATATCCTCCTACGTCGAGTGATAATATTGACGGCTATCAACCATTTGCAAAAGAGGAAGGTCATCCGTAGGGGTGGCGTCTCTAAAGGAAGATCGAATTCAACATTTGTACAGCCGGCGATGCTCCAGAACCAAGCCCTCGCACCGTCGATAAGTCCACCTCGAAAGCTAAGGTGGCGGTTCGGATTACCGACATATATCTGATCATAGCCGAACTGACGGGTGAATCGACATGGGAGATAAGGTTCAATGTGATAAGTATCTCTTACCCTGAACAACAGATATCCGGGTCGAATGTTCATCAACCATCTGAAGCACCCGGCATCCAAGATGGTGCGATTCTGCCTTGGGTCTTCAGCATCTACTAAAGTAGTATTGTAGGTACCGGAGAACTGAGGGAAGCAGGGGAAGAATTCCCAACACTTATGGATTTTAAACTGCCTTATTATGTCCGGCCCTCGATGATTGGTCCATTTGTAACATTCGAGATTCTGTAACAGAGGGATGCTGGGATTTACTGTCTCAGGAGCTTCCATTAAATCTGGCCGGTGAAGTACTAACCAGGTCATCAGATAAGTGTAGGGTAACTCCAACTTCGGAACGGACAGACTGGCGGAGGGTTTCTTTTTCTCCTGAGTAAACACGGAGATCAATTGCCGTAGTCCACTATGAATATCGGCCATCATAGCGGGGAGCAAAGATAATTTGCGACCTGTAGCTAGCTGGACGGCCGGATACAATACTTCCATTGGCATCACATCGGAGGACTGGTAGGGAACTACGCATTTCTTTAGCCATAAAGCCAGGAAACCCGCCAGCAGAGCAGTATGGCTAATTGGAACACCAGCTTGCCACAGATAAGGGCGGAATTTAGTGCCGTGCAAAAATCCATCTTCTGAGCGCGAGGTATAGGATTGCGCGTGAGTTTTCTCTAATAGACGATTGATTTCACCCGTACTCAAAGGAGACAATCCGCAAACATCTGCCGAACGGTCATCCAGGTTCTTGAAAAGATAATCAGCGAATTGTTTTAAGCTGACTTGAGGAGATTTCTTTCTGGCTTTGGGCTCCATCTCGGCCATGGCTATATGATAATGGCAAGTCAATTCCCATAAAGTATCATGAGTCACAGTCGAGCTTTCTTTCATCTTGTTCAGCTGATTGGCGGTTGGAAAGAATTCTTGATAAGGAACATCGCCCATAGGCAAAGCAGATACTTGCATCATTTCATGCAGTGGTAGTCCAAGCTCCCCGTTCTTGGTAAAGAATGTATTAGTGTCCGGGTTGTAGATCTCGAACAAGCAGAGGAAATGACCTACACTAATCTGCAAGCCATGCATGCTGGCACGAATCGGGACATCTAACCCTAATTCTGCTAACTCTCGCCCAAAACGGTTTAACACATATCGGGTCATCCTGGTCCACCACCATTTGTCCCCAGAATAATGAACCCATCCATAGCATCTAAAAGTCTTTTTGGGTAATCTTTTTCCCGCTGCCGCTAACCGGTTCTTCACGGTGTTGGCTTGCACTATCTTCTCATTCTGAGGTATATTATCTTGTCCTAAGATACCCGGATGAAGCCCCCGCACATGAGCTCTTTCACTGGAGCCTGGGTTGGCTTCCT